ATTTAAGTTGAAAAAAACTAAAAGGGATATCATGACATGAGTACAACAACAATTCCACATTTTTTCAGGAGGAATTTTTCTGAAGACAGTGACATGAATAACCACAGAAATTTTGATGCCATATTTTCCCTAGGAAGATGGGCATTTGTCTGTATTGCTTTAGTAAAGATGAGAAACCAAAGCCAATATCACTGTTTTTAGGAGCAAACTTTATGACATGCATAAATATCAAAATTAATTCAATTTTTTAAATGACTAAATAAAAATTAAAAATTAGAATGGAGTAATAAAAATAAATTTCACAAATGGAAGCAACTGGCTAGCTAAAAGCATGGAGGAATCTGGGCATACAAATAACATGAATCAACATGTGGCACTGCTGTTTTGAAATTGTAATAAATGCATATAATCTAAATTGAAATATTAATTTAAGATTGCCAAAATAGTCATTTTAATCTTGCTTCTAAGTTGGCAAATGTAGCAGACTGTTAATAAAAATATTTTAAATGAAGGTTATTATCAAATAAGAATATAGAACTGAGTAGATAGGGAACTCCAGAACCAAACATAAAACTGGATTCAAAGGATGTGTCATGGGGTAATTATCTTAGTTATACTCTTTTAACATTAAAATTTTGCAGGAAATGATGGGACACTTGAACTTGTAAAGCAGTTTATGTATAATATATCGTATAATATATTTTTATACATTAAACATAAGCATAATCTATAGTTTATAATTATACATAGATCTTAATTATATATCATTTATGTGTATATGTATTTATAAACATATGTGTGTGAATATATATAACATATATCTCCCCAAATCAGAAAACTCTGTATTACAGGGCTTAAAAGAAATCAAAATACTGAGCAGGAAGTACCAAGCAGGAAGTCATAACTTTTTCAGAGGGAAAATGGCAGCTCTTAAATTCTCAAAAGAAGACATATTATTGAGAAGTATGTCCTCTTAGGAAAAAAATAGGGAGTTAAAATTATTTAGTTGGAAAAGCCAAGGATGAGAATGTAGTGAGCTTTGACATGGAACATTGTTATGAGCCAATTCTTCCTAACCTACCAGTGTAGAATGCAAGAAATCAAAACTGCCTGGACATTTTTTGCAGTAATCAAAACATATGCAGAAACTATTGAGCTTCCAAAATCTGCTAGGACACCTTCAACCTAAATGTTAAACTACATTAGAATATTTGATAGGTACATTAGTTTAAAAGAATAAAGAGAGCCAGGCATGATGATATACACCTGTATTTCCAGCAACCTGGGCGGCTGAGGCAGGAGGATTGCAAGTTCAAGCCCAGTCTTGGCAACTTATAGAGGCCCTAAGTAACTAAGCAAGACCCTGTCTCAAAATAAAAAATAAAAAGGACTGGAATGTGGCTCAGTGGTTAAGCCCATGGGTTCTATCTCTGATACTTTAAAAAAAAAAAAAGAAGAAAATATAAAATGTTAAAGTTCTTCTGCTCATTTAGAACAAATTTGAGGAATTTGCCTATAAATGTATCTCTGCATTGAAATGTATTCTCTAATTTTTATTAATGATATCTACACTTTGATTTACAAATCAGTTAATGCTATAGTTAGTAATTCCTTATACTTCAGATTCAAACTAACTTTTAAAAAGGTGAGTTTTCATTGTGCATATACACAGCGAGATGCTTTTGAATTTAAAAAGTTCATTTTATTTTTATTTCTAAAAACATCCTGAACGTACAAGGTAATCAAAATTGGGACATCACGTGTGGGGGGAATTCTTTTATACATGACACTAATATTAAGATACTTTTCTTATCAAAAAAGAGTAAGTTCCACTGGGTTCAGTGGTATATGCCTGTAATTCCAGCAACTCTGGATGCTGAGGCAGGCAAAGCACAAGTTCAAGGCCACCCTCGGCAACTCAGTGAGACCCTGTCTCAAAAAATTAGGAAAAAAAAGACTGGGATGTAACTCAGTAGCAAAGTGCCCCTGGGTTCAATGCCCAGTATTTTAAAAAATAAAAACCAAGAAAGAGTAAAGTATAAAAAATTTCTTTTCTTACAAGATCAGAGTAAAGAAATCACTACCAGCCCTTGAGAATATAAATATAAAGTACAATTAAGTACTACTATGAATTGAGAAGACACCTGGGTTTTTTTAGAGTAGATTTACCAATTGTTTATTTAAAAAAATATTTGTTAAAAATTAGTAAGTTGCTTTTAAAAAGGCAAGTAACTTATACATTTATGTTATCTGCTCTGTAATATGGCTTTAAAATAAGAATGTGCTTAAATAAATGCACTTAGCATCCAGTTCTTTAAAGAACATCAAAAGTTTAATAATGAGATGAATTGTTGACAAAGAAACTGTCTTCCTCAAGAAAAAAAAAATCTCTACATTAAGAGCCAATGACAGAAAATCCTAAATAATCTTTTATTGTCAGAAGTCAATTTAATTTTTCCACAGAATAAACACAATTATTTCTATAGTAATATCAGTATAATCTGGGGGAATGAGTAAATCTACAAGGATTTTAAAACTTCTTCCTGTCCACTTATCACTTTTAAGATGCAATGATTCAGAGCTCTGATAGGGATTAAGATTTTCAGGAAATATAGAAGAAATTCATGTTAAATAACAACAGTGGACCTTGAAGTCATGAGCTTTTGTTACTTTATTGTTAACCAATGAATATTATCCAAAATTAGAGATGTAACTTAGTTGTACAACACAAAAATATACTAATGGTAAAAGCCTATTGGAATTTACCAAATACTCATTAGTGTATTTTACATTACTATATGAACATGTGCTCAATTGCTAATGATAAGTTATATTGGTTTAATCACTATGAAAATCCATATTGCAAATGGCTGTTCCTGTTTTAAAAAATCCACACAGCTTTAAAAATGGATTAAATCCATTTTAATCCTAATCTACAAATAGATTATAAACAGCAAATGTAACTGGTAATTTTTCAACACTGTAACAAACTGATGTAGCAATGATAGTGCACACAATTCAAAATTAGAAAAATTAATGGAAATCCAGGTTTTTACTATCATGGCAATTCCTTAATGCTTTGGAAAAGTAAAAATTTTTTCAAAGCATGAACAGTAGGGTCTACCATTTACTCCTCTAGTGTACCAAGTAGAAACATTCTCTTTCATAGGATTTTGAAGCATGTGCACACCACTGTACAACAGTCACTTCAAGGTTAACCAGTTATCTTTTGTCCTACAAGTCCAAAATATATTAAGCAAAACCTTTCCTTTTCATAATGTCTGCCCAGATTAATCCTTTTAAAAATCAGCAAAATAACAAAGCACAAGAGATATTTTCAGACATAACTTGAATCTACTGTGCATGAAAAATGTTTAATAAAATGGCAATTTTAATAAATGTAAATTTGAGTGCACAATACCAAATGCGAAGTAGCTGAACCACACAGAGAAAACAAGGCTTTCCATATCTTCAAATCCAGGCATTTAATAATAAAAAAAATATTAGAATATCTCTAACTGGGAAAATTTATTTAGTAAGATAAATGAAATGAATAGCCTAAATATTATAATTTCTAAAATAAGATTACCAAATTTAATTTTTTTAAGTTATAGATTTAAAAAATAAGCACAGTGATTTAGAAACCAAAAATGCTAAAATGATCATGTAACTATCATATCAAGAAATGAAGGTATAGACATTCTTTATATGCTACAAAGGTAACATCTCTTTCTCACACACAAAGACACACATTTCCTCAGACATAACACCCCTCTAGGAAGATAGTATACCAGTGACATCTTACAATTTTAACACAAATCAGAGCCCACAGTTCAACTTAACAAAAAGTCAGTTAAAAAATTAGCATTCACATATTCTAAAGGAAAATGAAGTCTCAAAAATATTCCTTCATGATTGAGACTGTCTTAATGTATAATAAACATACAGCTTACACATTTCATGGTGTTGGAAACCAGTCATTGTAGGTGTAATAGTGAGGTAGTATTACTGTCCCCTTCCTGGGACTGATGTTTTTATATACTGCCCTTCCAGAAAGGTCATTTTCCTTTTAGTGATTAAAATTAATTACCAACAAATGTTTACTTTCTTTTATTAGACATCCTTTTTTCTAAGTCAACTCATGAAAGAACAAATTTTTTCAAGTTTTTGAGACAACTTATTTGTAGGTAGTGTTTCATCAATAACCTCTCCTAGGAACTAACTAGACCTCTGTGAAGTGACTAGCAAAGAAAACCACCAAAAATTACAGGAGATGAAACACCAATCAATTTAGCTGTCAAAAATGACTGTAATTAAGTAAGCAAATAACAAATATCCAATAATGTAATTAAATTGGGACTTTATTTTAAAAAACTTATCATCAGCTACATACTATACTATTAAATGTACTAATCCTTTTCATGATTTGTAGTCATCATCTGCACAGTGATCAAACACTTTTTCACCCTGCCATAATTTTAAACACTACCAATGACCTGTATGATAGCAGAATTATGGCTATAGGAATGGCAGGATATGAGAAGGGCACACTGAGAAAATGTAAGAGAATGAAGAAATGTATATAGGTTAAACACAAAAAAGGCAAGGGAAAACTGAGTGCTCCATCTAAACACTTATTGAAAGGTTCACCATTATTTTAAATGCACAAAGTGATCAAGCCACACATACACATTTGTCAGTCATGATAATTAGTGTTGAATGTTCAACAGAAAAAGAAAAATGAAAACTGAAAAATGTAAAAGAATTGATGGAACATGGTTCTCCATCCCCTGGCCCAAACAAAAAAGAAAACCGAGCATGATATCACACTGCCTTAATGTTGAAGAGCTCTCCTTAAATTTGTCTTTCAGCCACCACAGTCAAACTGGTATAAGTGCTTTGGCAATGTGGGATGCATTCCATCACATCTGCAAAGGCCTGCTTTTCTCTGTTGGTGGTTCAGCTTATGAAGAACATGTATGCAAAATAACAGCTCTCACATTGCTTCAAACTCATCAATACGCTGCTTTGTATTGCCTTGCCGAATTTGTCGAAGAGTCTTGTATTTATCACGGCCTGCTTTAACATTCTCAGCATGAAGAACGTCATTTTGTGTTTTCTTGGTTTCATCTCTGGCTTGGGCTAATTCTGAACTCAATGCCTACATTAAAAAAAAAAAAAAAGACTATTAAAAAATGTATGGAAATGGTTTAAAGATGCAAAAATACAAATATACCAAGTCTGACTTTTTTTTTTTAAGAGAGAGAGAGAGAGAGAATTTTAATATTTATTATTTTAGTTTTCGGCGGACACAACATCTTTGTTTGTATGTGGCGTTGAGGATCGAAGCCGGGCCACACGCATGCCAGGCAAGCACGCTACTACTTGAGCCACATCCCCAGCCCAAAGTCTGACTTTTTAATATGTTAAAATTTCCACTGTGAAATCATTTTCTCTACTTTTTGTAATGGTGATGGTACTTGGGGAGGAATAATCGGGGCCTTTCATTTTCACACTTTCAACCATGATATTTTTTTATTCTAAATTTCCTTAACTTTTAATTCAGATTATATAATACCTTAAAGGTAGTTTATTAAATAGTATAGTCAATGTACACTTTAAAAATATTTTTATTGGTCCATAATAGTGGAATTAATTGGGATATGCTTGTCAATGTGCACTTTACTATTTAAAAACTATATTCATTTGATTTTCAACACAGCAATAGAATATTTTCTACCTTTTAAAATGGGTCAAGCTAACTAGTTAACAAACATTTGTTAATAGAGTCATACTAAGGAATAAATGAAATAATTGGCCAAACAACCAATTATAAGGCTGGCCACTAATAAGATTGCTAAAAATCTTAAGTTCTTTTCAATACATTCATCTAAGATAGAGAAAATATAAACTACATTTTACATGTACATAGAATTACAAATTACCTGAAGTTGTTTCTTTACGCGTTCATTTTTCTGTGTTTCCGTTACACGTTCTTCCTCACTTCTATGGTTCATTACCCCTTCATTTGATAATTCGGCACTAGCCTCAGCATTGTTCTCATCATGTTCATCATGTTCATTTTCTGTTGGAGGAATGACGGGTGGTGGTGGAGGGGGAGGGGGAGCAGACATCACAGTTTTTAACTCTTCTTTGGTCTTTTCCAAGTCTTCCTGGGCTGCAAAAGCCTAAGCATTAAAAATAAATTCATGAGCAACTTACTTTGAAAAGTGGTAATTAAGAGAATCAAGTTATCTTGCCTTTCTAGCAAAAACTGTATCTCAGAGTAATGAAAATAGTCCTTACTGATGAACACTCTATTTTTACAGTATACCAGCAGGTAGAAGAGATAAAATTTTTAAAACATTATTTTACAAACCTCTAATAAAAAAAATCTAAAAGCCCTAATAAAAGTTTTAAAATCCCTAATAAAATCATTAATTCTGGCAAGGATTATCCACTGCTGCTGAAATTATTATGCAAACGTTTGACTATTTTGTTTGCAGAGGGCTAATAGATTACATTTGAGCCACATGGGAGTAAAATGGAGGAATCTGTCATTACTCTAATCCAATGATCAATTAAAATCACTAATGGTGGGTTAACTAAATAGTAAGAATCTTTTGACATGAAACAACATAAAATACCCAATATCACCAATGATTTGATTGATTCTATTGTCCTGATTTGTCTAGAAAAGTCCTCTTTACACTGCTATCTTATATAATTATTAATAACACCCCCTTTTACTCACTTTTGTGATCTTCTTGTGTGCTATGTTATATGGAAGTCTCACCTATGATATATTATACAAAAAGCATTTAATTCCTCAAGCTTCTAGATCTAACTTTCAGTTATGGGAAATAGTGGGTATAAAAGGACAAGTTGGATGACACCAAGAGGAAGCAATTTCTTCAGGTTCTTTATATAAATCAATATCAAAAACAAACAACTGTCCAACATTAAAAGAGCCTTAGAGCAAAAAAGTACTGCAGGTGTGCAAAGTCCTAATTGAACACTGGTACAGCAAATTACCTCTAAAAGACTTTTTGGGTAAACTGAAAAATTCTGTTTAGATGAGATAAAAATTCACTAAAATGAAATTACAGGTATGATAAGATCTCATTTCAAATATATAAATGGGTATGTGTGTGTATACACACACACACACAGGAAAATATGCACTAATGCTTTATAATGTTGTCCTAATCTGTGGGAATGCAATTTCTTGTGTACATTTTCTAAGTTTCTACAGTTCAAAGGACTTGTGTCTGAAATATGAGATTTTTAAAAGCTTATGTCTCTGAAGTTCATAAATCATCCCTAAATGGGAATTATAAAATTGTAATAATGAAACAGTATAAGAAGAAAATAAAACAGTTTTATTCCTTTTGTACTATTATATGTAAATTTAATTTATTTTTTGTACTATTATATGTAAATTTATTTTATTTTATTTTATTTTTAGAGAGAGATCTCTCTAAAAAAATTTTTTTAATATTTATTTTTTTAGTTTTCGGCGGACACAACATCTTTGTTTTTATGTGGTGCTGAGGATCAAACCCAGGCCGCACACATGCCAGGCAAGCGCACTACCGCTTGAGCCACACCCTCAGCCCCTATATGTAAATTTAAATGTATCAAAAACTTCCCAATGAAATTTAAACTGCTACAAAGAAAATTAAAGAAAAACATTTTCTATAATAAGTACATTTTATTACAGAACATCATCAAATGTAACTGTTGAGAGCCATCCCTGGACGACATGTGGATAAATCAGCATGGAAGCCACTGAATAGGAAAATCTGATATTTGGAAACTTCCAGTGACAATCTAGCTGATAAAATCGCCCAGATACATGTGAGTCCTTTTCAGCTCTGCCAAGTCCTACCTAGCACTGGAGATGGGGTGACCTGTTGTAGCTATACCACCTCAGAGATGGGTATAGCCTATCAAGATGCCAATCAACCTGTTGAATGCAAGACTCTACATCTGAAACCATATCCCTACCTTTGACGTACCCCCTTAAATAAAACCAACAGAGCAATTTTCTCATCAGTCAGCTCCAGTTCCTGTGTGGGCTGGACCTATCAGGAGCTCTGCATTTAAAACCATTTTTCTGACTTTGTCTTTTATTTCTTCACTATTTTCTCAGATGGCTTATCCCTCCTGGGCAAGAAAAATTACTCTGGTGAGTAATTCCTTTTGTACTTTATGATATATAACTGTATTTTGGGGTGTAAAAAAATCATTATAGTTATATTTAAGAGTTGATGTCTTTTAAAGTTTACATTAAACTCATATGTCCCACATTCAATTGAAGCTTGATTTTCACTTTTGACAATGATGGATTCCTCTACAAAGAACTCTCATTAGAAATCTCAGCAGCACCATCACTGTAACTCTCTAATTCTACTCAACATCCAAGAATTGGTTATCCTGCCCTTTTCAGTGTACCACAAAATGTCTCTTTGTTGTTATTGTTATAAAATCTTACCTGATCATGCTACAATTATGTTTTGAAATTTTGAGAGCCTGGTGTCTACAGACATTCCCCATGACTTCGTCTTAGCATGGCCATTTATTTAAAGCCTTCCACAATTCAACTATCCAATTTGCCAGGCACATCACCAACACTTCCAAATCTACACTCTATGTTTTGGTCATTTATTGACTGTCCTCAAATTCATTATTTTTGCCTATACTTCCTATACTCATTCAATTCCCTTCTATCTAGAATGACCACCTCTTCAGTCACTAACTGTACTCAATCTTTTCTTTTCCCAAAATTTATTGCTCAATATCCAGTTTAAATGTATATGAGTTTCCCCAATAAACTGGCTCGTTCCTGGAAATTAATCACCTCTTCTGTGTTCCCAAAGTATTGAACATATGTTAATCTTATATTCATCTCTATAAAGTTGGTATATTGCTGACTTATTAGTGGATAAAGAATAGATTACTTTGTGTTGCCACTCAGTTGCTTCCTCTTCCTTTTTCTTTTTGGCTTCTTCTAGAAGGGCAATCTTGGCGGTAAATTCGGCAAGTTCTGCTGCCTATAATGAACAACATAATTACCAATATTTTTAAAAAATGAAGAAAAAAATCCTAATATATTTTGAATAATCTGACAAGTTCAGTCAAAAAATATTCAAGTACATTCTTCTGTTTTCAAAAAGGCAATATTTCTTGAAGATCCTAAGTGGCTTATTTATACTAAGTTCTTGAGATAATACGCTAATAAGACAAAACTAAGTGTTATTCTATAGAATGAGTTTTTATAGATGAGTAGTTAATCCTGATTTAGTAATAGGAACTTAAAATTTGTAACAGCTATTTTTAAAAATTTTTATCAGTAAACTTTCACTAAAGCCTATAAAGGAAAAATATTACATTGTTTATATAATGCTTTATAATTTAAATTAAGAGTACTCTGTCAAATAATCTCATCTGATTCCTTAACAACTCTCTTAAGTATATCATTCCCCTTTTCATAGGGAGGGACAGGGGGGCTAAACAAGCCATAAAGGCAAATAGCAAGTAATTACCTGAACTAATACTTAAATCCATAGATCTTTTAAGTGTTATGCCCCTCATTATTTGGAAGTCCATTAAACAACAACAAAAAATCTAATGAAATATGGCCCATAGTTATGTACAGACCAGAACATAGATCTAGAACAAAAGATGCCAGATGGCTTACTGCAGAGCCTGTCAAAAGTGTAAGCAAATGAGAATCTTATTGGCAGTAAAGGTATTTATTTGTTTTATTTCTAGGCTTTCTTTAAGGCAGAAATAAGTTTTAGGTTTATTTTCACACTTCATTAAGTTCCCTATACCTTTGGTTTGCATTTCACAGGTATGGTTTTTAAAAAGTTCATGCCACGCATTTACTTAATTTTTTTCTTTTTCTCTAAGATCTAATATAATTCCTTACTAGCTGTTCCTGATTTTTCATCTGGTCAGCAGCTTGTTTTGCTATAGCAGACTTGGCCTCTTCAGCAGCTTGACGCTCCTTTTCTAGCCGTTCAGCTTCTTCTCTTGCTCGTTTTCGTTCCTGATCCAGTTCTAGAGCTTTTCGAGTCTGTTCTTCTAGTTCTGTCAAATACATGTATTTCCATGCCCCCCAAATAATGATTAATTCCAATTATTCATTACCCAAAGAAACTAAAATAGTAACATGGAATCTCATGTGTTTAGTTTCTAAAAATCAGTACATATATCAATACACACACACATACCCACACACACATATATATGTAAATATATATCAATCTCATTGACTTCATTTTTATCTTAGTGAAATATTAATTTTTAGAAATCTATGATGCAATTCAAAAATGCAAAGACATGAAAATTGTTTTTAATTCAAGTTATGTCATGAGGCTAGAAGTACATACCTTTACTTTCTAAAAATCCTTTCACTTAAAGTTTGACCTTAAGGGGGATGAAATTTATTTTTTAAAAAAAGGGGGGTATAAAATTATACTGGTTGTAGAGCACTTGCATAGTAGGCACAAGGCCCTGGATTTGGGATCAGCAACATCTATTAGATAAGTAAACCCAAGGAATTTGATCTAATGTAAAAGTTCTTACATGAACTACAAATTATTGAAAATTGTGTTACTGGCATCCACAATTCCTGAGGCATGTGAAAGCAAGTGCTATTTGGAGATGACTGACTGAAATTTTAATCTTGAACAGTGAAGAACACAAAATTTTCTTATCCCAGTGAGTTGAACAGGAAAGGAAAATACTGCTGACACAAAACCAGGAAGCTTTTAAATGATTTTAAAATTACTAACTTTAAACATTATTAACAATTCTTGTTGAATAAGTACATTGTATGAAAGAGAACAGAATGCTACCTAAGAGAGTGCAATGGTCTAGAGAGAATCACTTTTCCTTACTGAATACATTAGAAAAGAGGAATTTGAAAATCTATATGCCAGGAGGTTTGTGGTTTTGATCTGTATTACCCTGATGATTAGTGATGTTGAGCATTTCTGCATGTACCTGTTGGACATTTGTATGTTTTGTTTTGTTTGAAAAATGTCTATATAGATCTACTGCCTATTTTTAAAATCTGGTTGTATTATTTGGAGTTTGTTATATCTATGTATCTACCTCTTGTCAAATGTATGTAAAAGCTTTTACTTACTGTTCTTAATTTTGTTGTTCATGGTCAAAATTAGCTTAAGTAACTGTAATTAAGACTTTGGAGTTATGAAAAGAATGGAAAAGAAAAATTACTCTTCAGTTAGGTTCTAAATTCTTGATAAAGGAATATAAAAATTCTATGTGGCTATTTTGCTATAAAGATGAAAAGGATAACACTGGATGTTGCCACAGCTAAATTCTAAAATTACTAATTTTTTAAGTTTTTATTTTTGATACACAAAAACATAATGTTCAATTCGTGTACACTGCACATGGTATTTAAATTAGTAAACACACCTATTTCTCTAAGCACAATTCTTTGTTAAAAGTTTTCAAAATCCTTTGTTCTAGCTTCTGAAATGTGCAGTTCATAACTGTTATCTATAAAGTCACCATACTTTACAACAATAGCCCAGAGTTTTTTGCTCCAATCTAACTATAACTTAGTACCCACTGTTGGAACTTTCCTCATCCCTTCCTCCACACTGTACCTGATCTCTGGTAACTACCATCCTACTCACATCTATGAGATGTTTTTTTATATTCTACATGAGTGAGATCATGTGGTACTTGTCTTTTTGTACCTGACTTGTTTCATTTCACAAAATGAAACAGTTCCATTGATGTTGTTGCAAAAGACGTGACTGTGCATGTTAATACCACATTTTCTTCTTCCATTAATCAGTTCATGAACACTTAGATAATCTTATTTCCATTTCTCAGCTATTGTGAAGAGTCCAGCAATGTACATAGTAGGATAGATAGTTCTTTTACATACCGATTTCATTGCCTTCAAATATATTCCCAGTAGTAGAATTGTTGGATCATCATCATCATAGTTCTATTTTTAATATTTATGAGGAAGCTTCATACTGTTTTCCATAACAGCTATACTAATTTACATTGCCATCACCAGTGTGCAAGGTGCCCTTTCCTCCACATCCATGTTACCACATGGTATTCTTTAGTCTTTTTTATACCAGCCATTCTTATTGGAGGTGATACTTCATTGTGGTTTTGATCTGTATTCCCCTGATGATTAGTGATGTTGAGCATTTCTGCATGTACCTGTTGGCCATTTGTATTTTTTTTTAAATGTCTATTTAGATCTACTGCCTATTTTTAAAATCTGGTTATATTATTTGTAGTTTGTTATATATTCTATGTATCTACCTCTTGTCAAATGTATATGTTGTAAATATTGTCTCCCATTCTGTATGTTGTCTGCATTCTGTTGAGTGTTGCTGTGCAGAAACTTTTCAATTTTATAAAATCCCATTTGTCTACTTTTGCTCGTTTCCTGAACTTTTGGCATCTTGTCCATAAAGTCCTTGCCCATTCCAATGGACTGAAGTATTTCCCATTGGTTTTCTTCTCGAAATTTGCTTCGAGTGTTAGATTTAAGATTTTAATCCATTTTGGGTTGAGTTTTTAATCAGTGAGAAATGGAAGTCCAGTTTAATTCTGCATGTGGGTTTCCAATATTCCCAACATTGTTTATTAAAAAGACTATCTCTAATTCATATTTTTAGTACTTACGTTGAAAATCAGTTAGCTGTAGATATGTGGGTTAACTTCTAGGATATTCTATTTTAATGACAATACCATGCCATTTTGATTACTGCAAATCTGTAATATGTTTTGAATTCAGATAGTGTAACCTCTCTTGTTCTTTTTTCTCACAGTAACCTTGGCTATTCAGGTGTGTAGGTGTGTAGGGGTGTGTGTGTGTTTCATATACATTTTAGAGTTGTTTTTCCTAGTCCTGTGAATTATACCACTGATATTTTAATAGGAATTGCAATTGCTCTGTAAATTGCTTTGGGTAGAATGAACATTTTTACAATATTGATTCTTCTATATTGTTAGAATATAGAACATGGGATGTTTTTCCCATTAGTTTTGGTTCTCTTCAATTTCTTTATAATTTTTACTGTAGAAATAATTTCATCTCTTCGGTTAAATTTATTTCTAGGTATTTTATCTTTTGTAGCTATTATGAACAGGACTGCTTTCTTGATTTCTATTTCGGGTAATTCACTATTGGCATATAGCACATAGTGATGTGTGTGTGTGTGTGTGTGTGTGTGTGTGTGTGTGTGTGTGTTGCTGGAGATTGAACCTAGGGCCTTGTGCATGTGAGGCAAGCACTCTACCAACTGAGCTATATCCCCAGTCCCAATGCTAGTGATTTATATGTTAATTTTATATCATGCAACTTCCGTGAATTCATTAATTTTAATAGTTTTTGGTAGAGTCTTTGAGGTTTTCAATACAGGAGATTATGTCATCTGCAAATGGTGACAATTTGATTTCTTCTTATTCAATCTGGGTGCCCTGCATTTCCTTCTCTTTCCTAACTGCTCCAGCTAGGACTTCCAGCACTATCTTGAATAAAAATGTTAAAAAATGGCATCCTTGTCTTGTATCAGATCTGAGAGAGAAAGCTTTTCCCCATACAATATATATTCACTGTCCGCTTAATATAAATGATCTTTATTTTGTTGAGGTATGTTCCTTATATATTTGTTCAGCATTTTTATTAGAAGGTATTAGAACGATGTTGAATTTTGTCAGATTCCTTTTCTCCCTCAATTGAGATAATGGTGTGGTTTTTGTCCTTCATTCTGTTGATGTGGTGTATCACTTTCACCGATTTGTGTATACTGGAACAGCCTTGCATCACTGGGATGAATCCTACTTGATTGTGCTAAATAATCTTTTAAATTTGCTATTGTATCTGGCTGGCAAAAATTCTGTTGAGGATTTTTGCATCTTTGTTCATCAAACTGCTCTGTAGTTTTCCTGTTTTCATTATGTCCTTATCTGTTTTTTGGTATCAGAGTAATGTCCTCTTAGAATGTGTTTGGAAGAGTTCCTTCCTGTTTTGGAATAGCTTAAGGAGGTTCAGATTAAATGTTTGATAAATTCAGCAGTGAAACCCTCTGGTCCTAGGATTTTCTTTGAGGGAAAGTTTTTTATTAGTAATTCAATCTCATTTGTTACTGGTCTGATTAGGTTTTCTATTCATGATTCTGTCTTGAGAAGGTGTGTGTCTACGAATTTGTTCATTTTTCCTAAATTATCAAACATGCAGGTACATACTTTATAACAATCTCTAATGATTTTTGTATTTCTATGGTGTCAGTTGTAATGCTTCCATTTCTATATCTGATTTGACTCTTCTGTCCTCAGTCTAGCTAAGGCTTGTCTATTTCATATTTTTGAAGAACCAGTTCTTTGTTTCATTGATCTTTTGTATTGATTTTTAGGCTTCATTTATTTCTGCGTTGATCATTACTGTTTCTTTCCTTTTAATAAGCTTGTGTTTAACTATTTTTCTAGTTCCATGAAATGCAGTGACAGGTTCTTTAAAATCTCTCCTTTTTCTGATGTGGGCATTGATTGCTATAAACTTCCTTTTTGGTACTACTTTTGCTGTATCTGGTTTGGGTATGTTGTGTCTCTATTTTGACTTCGAGAAATTTTTAAAGTGGTGATGATGGTGGTGAAAGCCCAAAGGGGGCTTTCAGTTTCAAAGTGATACTGGTTTTTGTTTTGGAGATGAGGGTGGTTACCGGGGACTAAACTCAGAGGCACGTGGCCACTGAACCATATCCCCAGACCTGTTCTGCATTTTATTTAGAGACAGGGTCTCACTGAGTTGCATAGGGCCTTGCCATTGCTGAGGCCAGCTTTGAACTCGGGATTCTCATGTCTCAGCCTCCTGAGCCACTGAGATTACAGGCATGTGCCACTGTGCCCAGGCCTCAAAGTAATCCTGTTTGAGACAGTGGCAGATTGCAAGCTACTGGTGTCTGCCTGAAGAAAACTATGAGTGTTTTGGGCATTTCATGTTAGAATCAACACAATAATGAGTGCTGCCAGGCACTCTCCCACACACAGGTGAATCATTCAGCCTCCCCAGGAAATGATCT